GCTCTTTTTCTCCCCCTCCCTTTCTCCTTCCTCCCTCACACCAAGCCACGCATGTTTTGTTTTGTTAATCCCTGTCTCTAGCAAATTATTGATAGTCGCTGTTTACATGGGGAAAAAAAGTTTCACATCCCCTATACCTCATCTCCTACCCTCAACACACACACTCATTTCCTGAGACTCAAGGAATGACAGCCAGGACCCAAGAAACAGACAAAATGACAAAGTTCCTTCTGGTTGTATCACACTGTGTGGCAAATGGCAAAGGGTGTACAGTTATCGCAGTGCCAGCCTTCGGAGAACTAAGGGACAGTTACACACGGAGCATGTGCTGTACCGGGATGCCACATGGCATGCCCTGCATTTGGCTTAAGTCTCGGCAGTGTCTTGTTCATGTGTGTGTACGTGCACACATGCCCCGATGTGTTTTCCTGCCTCTAATTTGGTCATGACCCAATTTTGCACTGGGTGTATATGTGTTAGTTTGTAAGTGCTACTGTAACAAGTTCTTGCAAATTGTGGTTTAGAAAAATCACAAATGCATTGTTTTACAGCACTGAGTTATGGGACTCCCCAGAGGAGAACCCATGTCCCTGCCTCTTCAGCTGCTAGAGGCTGTCACCTTCCCTGGCAGGTGGGTCCTTCCTCTAGCTTCAAAGCCACCAGTATGGCATCTTCCAATCTCATCCTCCTGGCCAGTGGTGATTTGTGAGGAATCTACTGATTACATTGGACCCACTGTGATGAACCAGGATTGTCTCTGCACCACACAATCCTTAATCGCACCTGCAGAGCCCATGTGCATGTGTGGGAGCATTCTCGCTGGCTCTGAGATCTGGAGTGGGGGTGCCTCTGGGAGTCAGCGGGCACTTTGCCTTCTACTGAATACATGGCCTATCTTCCACCTCTAAGATGACTTCTTTCTACACTTCCTACCCCCAACTCCTTTATGTGCCGCTTCATCCACTTCTTGGGGTTTCCAGCAGCAACTGTGTCCCTGCCTCTCCACCACAGATGGCATGTGAGGCAGTCCTTCCTCCAGCTTCAGCCTTAGACATAGTGCAGGCAGCATGAGGCTCTTTGAAGAGCATCTTTCCTCTCCTCCTCCCCCAGTCCCTCTACTACTACTGCACACACACAGCTTCCCAGTGGATCTCTAAAGGAGAAACGCAAAGAGTTATTGCTTTTTAATTACAAGTGCTATTGTAGCATCTATAAGGAAGAACATTTTAAGCTTAATTGAGACCAAATGTGAAGTTAAATTAAATGAATAACTAATTAACGTAATGCTCCTGCATTAGCCCCGTGTGAGTGCTGGGACCCAGAGAGAAGGCAGGTACTGGGCTCTGGTGCGCAGCCAGTGCCAGCACTGGGATGAGATGGGGACCTAGGGCTGGGCGCCAAGTGTCCAGGGGCAGACCTCAGGACATGGGGTCCCCCAGTCTCTGCCATTTTACCCAAACCCTGAGCTATAGCCCAACTCCCCATTTTTAAAAAAAGATTTATTTTTATTTGAAAGGCAGATTTATAGAGAGAAGGAGAGATAGTAGGAAGGTCTTCCATCCACTGGTTGATTTCTCAAAATGGCTGCAATGGCCAGAGCTGAGCAGAATCAAGGCTGGGAACCAGAAGCTTCCTCTAGGTCTTCCGTATGGGTACAGAGTCCTAAAGACTTGGGCCATCCTCCACTGCTTTCCCAGGCCATATGCAGGAAGCCAGATTGAAAGTGGAGCATCTTGGTGTATGCTTGCAATGAAGGAATCTCAACTAAACCTGAACTGTGGTTGTGCAACGGTGGGAAGGAGCCCACCATGGGGGGAGGGTTGAAAGAGGGGTGGGGGGTGGAATCCCAGTGCCTATATAGAACTGTGTCACATAATACAATATAATTAAAATATATATATAATAAGAAAAAAAAAAGATTGTGTTCCCAACTCCTGGCTGTGACCCTGGCCCAACCCTGCCACTGCAGGCATTTGGGTAACGAACCAGTAGGTAACACTTTTTTCTCACAAACAAAAGTAAATAAATCATTTTCAAAATCTAAAAAAAAAAAAAAAAAAAAAGAAAGTGGAGCATCCAAAATGCACCGAACCGGGCCAGACCCCAACACTCTCTGGTGTCCTGGAGGACCGGGATAGATGTGTGATGGACTAGGCAAGGTCTCAAACCCCTACTGAGCCATGTGTGAGCCATATGTGGGTATGGACAAACCATGGCTGGGCTGAAACATCCAGCAGCAAGAACCAGTTTGGGTTGAAGGCCACTCAGGAAAAGCCACTGTTCCTGTTATGACAGGAGTTGGACTGAGTAGGGCTAGCTGATGGACACACTTGTAAGCATGAAACCTGGCATTGGGAGAGGTTCTGATGGAGGAGCCTGGACAGCTCCTCTGGCAGGACACAAACCCACCAGGTAAGCGCAAGAAACATGATAGGAAACAGCCCAGAACAGGCCATGGAAAGTTACCCACTGGCATATAATTGGCAGGGGTCGGGGGAAGACCAGGCTGAATCTGTCCACGTCATCCACTGGCAAATCCAAGCACCAGAACAGTGTGGGTCAAGCCAGGTTCGTGCACAACAAAAACTAATGCACAATATAGAATACCAAGGTGAGGTTGCCTGTACCGGAAGGGACCACAGTGCCCAACCAACAAGCGTAAGAACAAGGAAGGGAGGGGGCAGAGCCAGCAGGGGAATAAGGGAGGGTTCCTTTGCTGGACAGCTACTCCTGCAGGAGAGCCTGGGCTGGGCTGGGGGCAGACCAGACTAGGCAGGGCTACAACACCTGTGCGCCTCATGTGGACTAGATCAGGGAAAAGCCGGGCTGGGCTGATTATTCCTACTGGTGCAAACAAAATTAGAGTGGGTGAGGGTTGTTTGGGCTTAGCCACAGCATTAGCTGGCAGAAGCTGGCACTGGGGGGTAATCCTGTCAAGTCAAACCACAGAACCATCTGGAGAGTGCAAAATCTGGGAGTGGGAGAGGCCTGGGAGGGAAATAGTGGGCTCCTCCCTCTTGGGTTACCACTTCCACGGGAGGGCATAAAAACTAGGACAGCGGCTGGGGTGGAATGGGGTGTGGGACAGACTGGATTACTGCTACACATACTAGCAAACCAGGGTAGGGGGCAGGCCTGGTGGGGGTTATTGCGGGTCGCTCCAACTAGGCTGCAGCTCCCACTGGTTTATGCGAGGGCCAAGTATGTGCCGGGCAGAACCAGGCTGGACTGCAACACCCATTGGTTCCAGTGGAAGTCGGGAGTGAAAACAGAACCAACCCAGCAATTGCAACCACCAGCTGATCGGGGTGATGGACTGTGCCGGGCCCTGTACTTGCTAGCACATACAAGAATCTGGTTGGACAAAGTTTTTTTGGAGATCTCCCCAATCAAAATGCTGGAACCAAGAAAAAAGAGAGGACAGAACAGGTCTCAGCTATGATGGACTATGTCAATCAGTGGATTCTTCAAGGACCTCATAGTGCTTGGAGTGGCAAGATTGACAGCAATTCATAACTGTTAAAATATCAAAACCACTTGAGCAAGAACCTCAGAGCAAACCCTACATCTGGGACCTGGGGAGGGTGGGAAATTGGGTGGGCCTTCTCCCTTAATACCCCCCTTTAAACATGAAGGAAACAATATGGAAAAAATACTAGTCTTATAGCCCTTGAACCTTTTTACCCTAAAAAAAAAAAAGAAAGTGGAGCATCCGAGACACAAACAAGCACTGATACAGAATGCTGGCACCACAGGATGGAGGATTAGCCTGTTGGGCCATGGCATTGCCTGTGCCTCGCTCCCACCCTTGTCCTCACCTCCGAGGCCAGGCTCTGAGTTCCCACAATGCCTCCCTCATGTCTCAAGTGCCCACACCCAGGGCTTGTTGTCGGTGGTAACTTCTTCCCTTTCCCACTCCCTATCTTACCAAAGGGACCACCCAAGTCCTACAGATGCTAGCCTCACCAGCTCAGCCCATCCCTAGGGCTAGGCTGATGAGGGCACTGCCTCAGCCCTCCTTGGTCTCCTGGGCACTTTTATGTATTGCCGACAGGTGTTTTTATAATTCTAGTTTATTCCCTAACTAGTCGAGTCCCTCAAAGTCTGGAAGTGTGTTTAATGCGTGTCCCCTTTCCCACCAGTCCTAGCAGGTAGGTATGTCATTTCCCAGATGTGGAGGCAAGCTTTGCCTAGTCCGACTGTGGACAAGAAGGCCTCAGAAAAGCCCTTCGTGCCACCTGACTTCTGTCTGCAGCAGAAAGACGCTGAACGGCCAGCTCAGAAACCTGACCCAGCCCTGCACCTGGTTCTACCGTGGGATTGTGTCACCATCTAGTGGCTCGTGTGAGTAACACAGATAAAGCCCGAGAGCAGCATAGACCACAGTTCCTGCCCTGGGGGGCTCTGAGGATGGACTGACTGCTGTTTTCTGAGCCCAGGAGAGGATCCAGCAGGGCAAGATGTACCAAATTGTTGCAGCTGGGGTGCACCTATTTCGGTGTAGCAGATCCAGTTCCAGTGCCGGCTGATGTACCACCAGCCCACCCAGTGTTCAGTGAAAGGCAGTAGTGGTGCCTTGTGTGGGGCTCCTGGTTTGTTCACACTTCACCAGCAGCACAAACACCCACTCCAGGAACACCACTTGTCACCTGGTGGCCCAGGACTCCACCTGCTGCCCTGCCAAGGCCCTTCCAAGGAGGAACACAGAAGTCTGTATTGTTGCTGATGGGCAGTTGTACAGGTCAGGTGGCAATACCAAGAGCCAGGACCGCCTGTAGCAATGCAGGACCCCCATGAGCTGGGGTGGTGGGCCCGAACATGCAGTGGAACACTTGGTGGAGAGTGACTGTGCCACTGCACACAGAGCAGTCACAGAAATGAGCCTGTGGTTCATGCATTTCTTGCTTGTTTAGGTCACCATGGTGGCTGTGCTCAGGGCAAAAGTCATTTGCCTGTGGCCACTGTCAGCTTTGTCCCCAGAGAAGAGCTGGCACGTACAGTAATCATCAACATTTCATTCTGAAAATTCTCAGTACACACATTGTTTAGTCTTGTCCCTCTGCCCCCTCCTCCATCAATGCTGGCGCAGAAGTCATTCTCCACTGTGACAGCCAGCCTGGGACCAGCATGAGGCAGGAATCAGAGCTGCACCAGTTCAACAGTGAACTTGCTCGTGTCTGGTACCCGAGGCCGCTCTTTGCAGCTTGGGTCCTGACAGAATTGCAACAACGCTTTCCTCAAGGTGTACAATGAAGCCATCAACAGGATGAAATGGGGGATGGAAGAAAAAGATCCCACTTTGGGACGGAGAGAGAAACCTGGTCCATGGATGGAGGGGTAAAGAGAGGCGGGCATCTTTGAAATGGGATGAGATGCCCACCAGATTGGTTAGCTTAGATTTGAGCCTGGGGGAGACAGACTTTGACCTCGCTGAGCAGAGCTTTGCCTTTTGTCTTGGCAACTGAACGAGCAACATTTGGTGCATCACCTTTGCTTGTCAGCGTGGAGGCAGCTCTCAAGGACACAGCCCTCAGCCCAGGGCTGCATCCTTCTGCACACAGCTTCCAAAACTCAGGCCCTTGGATCCCCCATTTGCTCATGCTTGACAGTCCCCTTCCCACAGAGTCACTTATTCTCTTAGCGGTCCTAAGAGCTTGAACTGTTAGCAGTCCTAAGAGCTGAACTTGGGTTTAGCTGGGCTGGGCTGGGCTGAGCTGAGCTGGTGTTGGATCAAGAGGCTTTGCCAAACCGATTCATGGATGTTCCAATTGTCTTTCCCTTTGAGGACCCAGCAGGGACCCTCCTTGCTTCTCTTTTGATCAGGGCCTCATATTTCTTTATACCTACAGGGAAAGAAGAGAGGTGATAGAAGAGAAATGAGATCGTTAATGAGTTCCTGCCTGAGCAAGGGGACCAGGGAGCAAGCTTCCAGGGCCCCTTGAGAATTGCAGTCATCTCTGCTGCCTATAATTTGAACCACTCTTGCTTCCTGGGTATGCAGAGCAAGGCAAGAATATGTATATATAAACACTTGTGAGTGACAAGTTTAAAATGCACTTGTGTGAAACATCTTACAGTGTTAGGCCACGTTGGACAGCTTTACAATGCACTGCCTTAGGGGGCCAGTGCTGTGGCATAGCACATTAGGTCACCACCTGCAGCACTGACATCCTGTAAGGTTTGAGTCCTGACTGCTCTACTTCCTGTCCAGCTCCCTGCTAAGATACCAAGGTACCAAGGTACCAAGTGTTTGGGCTCCTGCCACCTATGTGGGAGGCCCTGGCTTCAGTCTGGCCCAGCCCCGACTGTTGCAGCCATTTAGGGAGTAAACCAGCTGATGAAAGATCTCTTTTTCTCTCTGTAACTGCTTTTCAAATAACTAAAAAAATCTTAGAAGACAAAAACACCTTCTCATATCCCATCTCACTGCAGCCTCAGGTCAGCCCTGCCAGATGGCCGGGGATGAGCACACAGGCACGCCTACATTAGTATCTGTGGATGCAGTGGCCCAGAGTATTGGAGCTGGGGTGCCAGGACACGCCCAAGGTCTCAGGGCTGTCCAGAGGCTTTGGATTCCAGGCCCCTGCTCCATCACATCACCCCTCTGCCTCCGAGAGGGGCCAGCAAGGGCAGCAGCAGTGCAGAGGAAGGCACACAACCCACAGACGTGGGCCCAGCATTAGGCAGCACAGAAGGCTGGCACTTAACTCCTCAGCTTTGCAACTCTGTTCCCTGGCCTCTGAGTGAGACAGCGCCCTCTCAAGGCTGCTAGGAGAGATGCACTAACACCTGAGATTGAACCTTATTCTATGCCTCTCCCTTTCTGCTGCTTCTCCATGCACCCCACCCCCAGCCCAGCAAGCCTGCCCTGGGCACTGTCCCAGAGGAGCACAGTGTCCCAGTGACCAGCGCAGGACCTGGCAGGATGGACTCTCTGAGAGCAACTTGCTGTTTTCCTGGCTGTTTCCTGCTCAGTTTTATTTCCTTCTTTAAGGGAAGTGCTAGCCCATGCACTGTTCTGGTCTCCATGGCCTCTGAGTGTATATCTATGGGAGCATTCTTCCATCCAACCCAGCTCCAGACAGCTCCTTAGCAAGAGACCCTCTGCTCAGAAGGCAAGCCAGAAAGGGAACAGGGATAGGGGTACCTAGCCACCAGCACCAGCGGGCAGTCCCTGCCTCAGCACCAGTCGATGCATACCTCCTCCATACCCGCCACCAGGGGCTGCCAGGCAGACAGAGCACCACCATAGCCCCCAACACTTGATTTGAACATTGTTTCAGAGGCCCTGATTGGCCTTGGTTAACAGCATGCCCTGGACAGAGGGGCCAGATGACCTGTGTTTCTGAACTTCATGTGACACTTGTAGCTCAGTAAGCACAGACACCATCTTTGCCCCCTCTGTCTCGGGTGTGCAGTGCAGACCCTAACACCCTCCCCCAGGGGAGAGGTGCCTCAGCCCCTGGGGAAGCATGTCCCAAATACTGAGGGGGTGAGGGTGCCCACAGTCTCTGCGACTTGACAGGCTCCCTAAGAAAAGGGAAAGGTGGGGAATCAACATTGCAGGAGAGAGAGGTTGCATGCAGCCCGCATCCTCATGGCACGTTTAGCTATAGCCTTGTAGAAAATACTCACAAAAATCATGGGGCTGGAGGAAAATATTACCGCGGTTGGGTTAGGGCCAGACTAGAGCTATGGAGACACATGGGGACAACAGAGGACAGGTTAGTGGGGTGGAGATGGGTGGGCCCAGGGCAGGAGTGACTCCAGCAGGTTGTCCAGGGGCTGGCTCAGCATTACCAACGTCTGAGCTGGACCGACCTTGGCCTGGGTTTAGAGAAACTGAGTACTGAGTGGATCCCTGTATAAGGAGTGAGACTGGGAGAGGGGTCTGCAGCTCCCAGGAGGACTCACCCTCTGGCCCTGCTCAGCATTGCCTTCCAAACCCGGATTTCTTTGTACACCAACCGGCAGAGAAGCTGTGGGGAGAACCAGGCACAGGGGGACAGGCAGGGTACTGTTAGCGAGGGGAACCATGAATGCCCAGTGTCGAGTGAGGGGTGTACTGGCCAGAGAACAATGGGCAGGCATGTGGCTACATGTGACAAGGGCACCCAGGAGGGAAGGTGGCTGTGAGCACAGAACAGCCGCACTCATTGTCCCAAAGTCCCAGTAACGCAAGTTGTGGGTACCCAGGGTTCCGGCCTGACAAGGACAAAACTCCCCCTGCACTCCCATAGTCCCTGCTCCCACCCCGGGAACTCTTACCAAACAGGCAAGGACGTCGGCAGAGATGAGCATGTAGAAGACATTATTCCAGCCTGTGGGTGATATGAGCCCAGCCAGCAGAGGTCCCAGAGCCGCACCTGCTCAGAGCGTACCACATGAGAAGGGGACCCCACACCTCCCCAGCCAGAATGACAAGAGCATACTCAGGAATCGACCCACCAGCCAGAAGGCAAGGGCTACAGTTACATACCTACAGAGCCGGTGCCATCAATGATGGCTGTGACAGTGGAAAGGGCCTTGGCATTGCCCTTCAGGCTCTTGTGAGTACCCTGGGGGGAGAGGGCAGGGTGGGGAGGTCTGCGATGAGCAGCAGTACTGGGCAATGCCAAAAGTAGTACAGGGATGATGGTGACCAGGAGGGAAGGGAAACTGGTGGGTTCTGAGGGACTTGGAGGGTCTCACCTCTTCAGGATGTGGGGGAAAAGGAGCTGGGACAAAGCCCCTGCCCATGGCCCAGGGAGGGGCCCTACTCACCAGGTCAGCAGAGACAGCAGTGGTGATAAGGGAGTAAGGGCCGTTGACCAGGGCCCCACAGATGATCAGCATCACTGAGGCAGAAGCAAGGGACACCACTGTTAGAAGGGCCCCTGCTTCCACATCCCAGGCCAACCTCCTGGGGGCCCCAGGACAGTGCCCCCCACCCAATGTCCTGGCAGGTCTTGCAACCACCTCCTCACCTATGGAGCTGGTGATCCCATTCTGGCCGATGTAGTTGTATAAGAACATCTGAGCGAAGATAAGTGGAGGACCAAGTAATTGCCAGGCTCCCTGGAAGTGGGGAACAACCCCCTCCCACCCTGGAACCCCAGAGGTCATTTTCCTGTTTCTTCTTCTCATGGCAATCTGCTCAGATCTTTCAGGTGTTCCAGGGATGAAGAGTCTAATTTATGGTCATTGATTGCTTCATCTTTCCCCCCAGAGTCCTCTCCTATCCAACTTTGACTTCCTACTTCCTTGGCCCAGGTGAGAAACTATCCTCCTCTAACACAGCCAAACCATCATCAATCCCTTTCCCAAATTCCCCACCTGGGTGTGTTCCCAAGGTGTGTACTCCGACCCTTGCTTCCCCTGCCCCACCCTCCATACCCAGTACATGCTCAGGGTTGCACACATGTGAGATATAGCTGTGTGTGCAAGTTCAGGATGCACAGAGAGCCCCACAGCACTGGGTCTTTGCCCTGGAGGTCATGCATACCATGGGGGCAGCCAAGAGCAGCATGATGCAGCAGGTGGTGGCCCTGCCATTGGTGTAGTCAGAGATGATTCCTGCCAAGATACCACCTGAAAGACAAACCCACTCACACACTGCCACCTGGGCAGGCCCATGCCATCCCTCTCAGGGTTCCAGCATTGTCCCCTTGTCCTGGCCAACACTGGCCTGGGCCTGACATCAACAATCAGCAGAAGGGCTGGCACTGCAGTAGAGCAGGTTAAAGCTCCTCCTTGTGGTCCCGCTTCCCAGTATGGGCACTGGTTCCAGTCCCAGTTGCTCCACTTTTGATCCAGCTTCTTTTTGAAAGCAGTAGAGGATAGCCCAGATGCTTAGGCTCCTGTCTCCATATAGGAGACCCTGATGAAGTTCCTGACTCCTAATTTTAGCTTGATAGCTTGGCTCAGCCCCAGCCATTGCAATCGTTTGAGGAAATGAACCAGTGCATAGAAGATTTGTCTCCCTCATTCCACCCCAGAACTCTACCTTTCAAATAAATAAATTTGAAAATCTCAGCAGAGTTTCTCCCTCCATAGCCCTTCCTTCGACCCACCACTTTGGGAGACGGAACCCAAGACCATCTTTCTTAGGCCCATCCAGCTGCAGCAGGAATGACAATAGACCCAAGTGACCTTTCCACTGGGCCTGCCCCTTCTTCTGGGACCCCAACAAGAGGAACAGGGAAGGCAGCCCACTGGGAGGGCAGGGCAGGCCTCACCTATGATGCCACCAACATCGAAGAGTGTAGATAGGTCCCCCGCCTCCTTGGCACTGAAGTGGGCTGCAGGGTACATAAGCATGTAGTCAGACCAGACCAAAAACTTCGGTCATACACCCCGGAGGGTCACGGCCAGCAGCACCAGTGCCTTCATGGCAGAGAATGGAGCAGAGTGCCTGTGTAACTGTATTGCCCAGGACCCCAGAGCGAGTGTGCTGCAGTTTGGGATGGATGCCCAGGCCTGCACTCCCGCCACCTTCCCCAGCAGGACAACCTTGGCCTCTATCTAGCAAGTCTGGGGGTCTGAGCCTTGAGATCACTGCCCCCAGGCAGTCCTCCTGGAGCACAGCTCTGACTGACGAAGCCTACATGCCCAGCACAGTCGACTGGCAGATCCCATCCGGAGCTTCCTGCTGCCACCCCAGGTCTCGGCTGATAAACAGTGCCAGAAGAGAGCTTGCAGGAAAGTGGGGCTCATGAGCCCCACCCCCGGGATTGACTCATACTCTGAAGTCAGCACCAAGGCCACAAACAAAGAGGTGCAGTGTCGGGGAAACCCGCCCAGCATTCTGCTCCTATCACAGACAAGCTCCTCAGGCAGGCAGACGGCAAGCCTCGGCCTGAGGTTGGGCCCCGTGACTAAACCCAGTGGCCTGTTTGGAGATAGCACATGTGCTGCGGGGTAGCACTGGCCTTTCCAGGGTTGGGAGGGAGTGGAGCAGCCCTGGGTGGGAGATGTACCTGGTAACAGGTGTGGCTGCACGACTCCTGAGCCAAGTGGTCCCACCCAGGCCAGGAGGACGGTAAGCATCCTTTTGCAACCTCAAAAGCCCTTATGTCTCATCTGGTGCTGGGGCAGCAAGGGGCAGGGAAGCGGAGTGTGCAAGGTGCTAGCGGCACTCCCAGCTCAGCCCGGGAGAGGGTAAGCAAAGGGCAGCCCCACAGTCCCACCCGCCTAGAATCCAAGCAACCTGGAGAAGGGTTTGCCTTTACACCAGGCTGGGGAAGGAGACCTGGAGGCTTGCAGGCTGTCCAGCTCAAGGCCCAGGGCGGGAGGTTGAGAGGGAAGGTGCCTCAACCCAATGCATGACTTAACTTCCTACCATACAAGCTAAATTCCATTCAGCTCTGGGGCTGGCACACACAGGCTTCCTCTCCTGCCAGCCACAGCCCTGACCTCCCCCAAGCCTACTTCCCTCCACTCTTCTTCCCTTCAAGCTCACCCACATTGAAGATGTAGAGGGGCAGCCAGTAGAGGAAGGTGTAGCTGACCAGCTTGGCAAAGAGCAGGCACAGGGAGAACTCAATCACGCCCTGGGTGGGGGGAAGAAGAGAGGGTGCAATGCAGAGGGGCTTCCTGAGGGATCCTGCCCCGCCCCCCCCCCCCGGACTGTCCATCAGCCATGCTCAGAGCAGCCTTCAGCACATGTCCCAACTTAGTCCAGCAGCAGACCTGTTCTTCCAGCCCGCCCTCCCCAAGCATGTGACCCAGCCCGCACATCTCTGAAGACATCCGCAGGGACCACAGGTCACCTTGAGTACCCTGTCTCCTGTAAGCCAAGGTAACAGTATGGATGGAAAGGCCCCACCTTGCTCTGACCCACAGGCTCCTCACCGGGATCCGCAGCGCCCCCAGGAAACTGATGGCGGCAGGTTCCTCGCAAGGCTCCTTGGAGCAGCTGGCCCCCGTCTCCAGGTTGTTCTCCCGGTGTCCATAAGGACCATTTGCAGGGTCCTCAGGGTTGTCCTGGTCCTCATCCGGCCCGCCCTGCACAGAAGGGGAGAACCCATGTGGTGAGCTGCAGCTCGGCACAGCCCTCTCCTGGCCCGGGCTCACTGCAGGGTGGGCCGCTCCCTCTCCCACTCCCCTTGCTCCCACACCCCAGGGAAAGGCCCTTCTGGAAGGAGCCAGGCTGGGGGCAGAGCAAGGGCTCCTCCTTTTGCTCTGGCTCACTCACACTCACATGGTGCTGAGGAGGGCTGCAGTCCACATCCTCTGGATCTGAAATGAAGTAGCTTTCTCAGGGGCCTTCCCATGGCCAGGCCCACCCCTTGCTCTGAGTCTAAGCTGATGCAGAAAGCAGACCCCATGCCACCCCTAGTGAGGGGCAGGAACCCAGGTCAGGCCTGGCCCTCTTCCCAACCAGCAGTATCACCCCTGCCTCTTGGAGGAGGCGGTAGGGCTGTTAACATCTGGCCTTGCTAACCTAGGATGCTGTCAGAGACAGGGCCACCTGCACCAGATGTGGGAGATCTGTTCCTCCTTCCACTTCCACTTCCCCTCTCACACCTCTGCTGGGGCCTCCCTTAAATCTGCAGGCTCCCTCCACACTCTTACTGTGCTGTGAATGAGAGCCTGGTCTCCAGAGGTCACCTGCTGGGCCTCCAGCTCTCTCCTCTCCCCCCCCCCCCCCCCCGGACCCCCTTGGCTTGCCACTTTCCCAGCACAGCCACAGCCTCCTGGAAGGAGAGCACTCCAAGGGGCTGATGGGAACATGGCAGGAGGGTATGGGGAGGGAGAGGCACTCACACTCAATGAGGAAGAGGAAGGTGAGGACCCCCACGGCTGCGGTGATGATGCCTGGCACCACAAACGACAGCCCCCAGTGATTGTTCACCCAGATGCCGGCAATCAGGGAGCCGAGGATGTTGCCCACAGAGGTGTGGGAGTTCCAGACACCCATGATGAGCCCCCGCCTGGAGCAAGGAAAGATGGGAAGAGCAGTCAAGGGGATTCAGGGTCACGGCCAGGCTCCAGGGACTCCAGAAGGAGGCCCTCAACGCCCACAGACTGTCAGGGAGCTGGGAGGCCTTGGCTGTGGTCAAACGGGCAGCATGAGGTCTGCCGCCATGCTGCCCTAGGCCAGCTCCCTCAGTCAGCACCCAGCACCCACAGGACTTCCAGATGGGTGCTCTGGTCCACTCAGGGCATGCTCCCTCCCCACCTTCGCTCTCTTCTGCCACCTCAGACCTCGCTCTAAGGCAGCAGGCTTCAAACAGGGCTTTCTGAGCCCCCAGGGGACATCTGGACATGGCTATAGAGGCTTCTGCTTGTCATAGCCTGGGTTGGGGGTGCTCCCAACATCAAGTGGGCACCTGCCAGGGACCAGGGGTCCTGCCGAGTCCCTGCAATGATCTGTAGGCTGGCTGCTCTTTGCCTTCAGAAGGGAAAGTCAGGAGCAGGCGGGTAGCCTTGCGATGAAGACCTTAGTTAAGAAGCTTGCATCCACGTCAGAGTACCCGGGTTTAGGACCCAGCTCTGGCTCCTCTGCTTCCTGCCAGCGCAGACCCAGGAGGAGGAGGTGAAGTCTACAGTAACTGTCTCCCCACTCCAGTCTTATGAGGGATCTGGTGCATCACTGGCTCTGTATATATGTCTTTCTCTGCTCCTCAAATAAATATATGTATTTTTGAAGTCCTGCAACTTTTTAAAAGAAGTGGAAGCAACAGGGAGAAGCAGTAGAAAGGAAAGGGAGGAAGTCCTATACCCATGAAACTGTAAAGTGGAAAATAAAAACAAAAATAGGGGTTAATAATAAGCTTGAAACTTTTAATATTACAAAAAAAGAAATGGAAACGGATTATTAGAATAAAGTACAAAAGTACTTGAAAAACATCTTGGAAAGATTGGAGTGCGAGAAAATTAAAATTCACGCATGAAAAATGTGTTTTCAGGGGAAAAAAAGTATGCAGGGAAGGGCTGGTGTTGCAGTGTTAAGACACTGCCTGGGACATCAACATGCCCTGTTAGCACCAGTTCATGTGCCAGCTGTAGCACTTCTAATCTAGCTCCCTGCTACTGGCCTGTGAAAAGCAGTGCAAGATGGCCTAGGGTTCTGGACCCCTGCTGCCTGTGTGGGAGACCCAGAGAAAGCTCCTTGCTTCTGCCTTCATCTGGGCCTAGCCCTGGTAGTTGCAGTCAACTGGGTGGTAAATCAGCAGATAGAAGATCTCCCTGCTCTGTGTCTCCCTCTCTTTGTCACTCCAACACTCAAATAAATAAACCTTAAAAAAATAGGTATGTGTGGATTTCAAAACTGTACTACAGTAAACTTGCTTTTCACCTGTTTCCATGGACTGTATGAAGTCCCGCAGTATAACTAAGGGTGCTTGTTCTGTGGGCTAAAGCCTCATCAATAAGAAGAGCAGTGTGGTGCTTTGGTCACAGGAGTGTGTGAATCTCAGCAGCGGGAACATGAGGAAAGAGGGAGGAAGTTTTCTAATCTTTCCTCCTGAGATTGCATCAGAGGACCTTGAGTGACCACAGGAGTGCCCACCCTCCCCAGCCCTTCCCCGTCCTCTTCCTTGTCACTCACTTCCCCTTCCCGAACCAGTTGCCAACGCAGGTCACCACAGAGGGCCAGCCTGTGGTCTGGACCAGTCCATTGCAGATCTATAAAGAGAATGACAGAGGGTGGGAACTGCCTGCCCCATGCTCCCAGCTTGGCTGCCTTGGGGGTGGGGTGGGGGGCAGAAGGTTCAATGTCATGGCCAAGGAGCCCTCCACACCTGCCACCATACACCCGGCCTTTCCCTCACAAACACATCCACATCTGCCCCGCTGTCATGAGCTGCTTGCTCCCTGACAGCTGAGGCAAGAGCCCAGTGAGGTGCCCCAGGCCGACCCATGGAGCACCCCCGGTGCCTGACATCGGGCTGGGGAACAAGGAGCCCAGGGCCCATCTGCCATGACCAGCTTGGGGATCCCGGGGTCCTTTCTGAAAAGGGGACAAAGAAGCGGGTGCAAGAGGAGGACTTGTACCTGGATGACCACAAAGTACCAGAGCATGTGGATGTTCCAGAAGTACCCCAGGCCAAAGAGTGAAGTGAAAAGGCCACTGAGCAGCATTCCAGCAGACAGGTAATAACGAAGCGGGAGCCGCTCCCCAAAAATTCCACTGGAATAGAGAGGTGGGGCTGAGGTTGGTCTCCCGGGTCCACTCCTCCCCTCTCCACAGCTGCAGCTGGGAGCCTCCAGCCCATCTCAACATCCTCCCCTGCTACATGCACACACACACACTGCACCAATGCTCCACCTGACACTGCTGGCCGGGCCGGGGCCGTTACTGCAGCCCTCTTCCTCCCACCTGGCTACTGTGTGTCCCACGGCTGCCTCCCAGGGTGGTCCCTTTAATACCTCTATGGCCTTTCTGTCCAGCAGCCCCACTACGTATCTTTAGTCCCCATCTTTCCCATAGAGCTGCAGGATCATGTAGGATGCCTCCAGGCATTTTGACAAGGATGTCCTCGCAGCCTGAGTTCCTCTTCCTCCTTCCGCCACCCAGCCTCTGCCCAGAGTCCCTTATCTGAGTGAAGGACACCACCTTCCACCTCAACACTCAGACCAGACCGGGAAGCCACCTCTGCCCTCAGCCCCGCCTCCCAGCTCTCATTCCAGCTCCCAGAGCTGCAATCTCTGTCCTGTCTGCCCCTGCCCCCCATCTCTGCAGCCTGTGCCATCGTCAGATTGGCCCCTCAGGACACCAGTCTGGCCCCTTCCACCCAGATCTGCCTCAGCACAGCCCTGGGAATTACCTATGTGAACATGACTCCCTAAGAAGCCCACCAGGCCCTTTCCATAACCTTATCCTTCACCTCATCTCCAGCTTCATGATCCCACACATCACGCTGTTTCTTCCCCTGAATCCTTCTTTCTGCCAACATTGGGTCAAATGTCCTCTCCTCCAAGGAGCCCTCCCTGGACCCTCTTCTCTAATGCTAGCTTGGACTAAGGGACTATATCTGAGCTCCCAGCGGTGGCCCTTGTATCACATAGCCATCTCGCTGTTCTGCCATTAGCTGCAGGGTTTGCACACCACCAACCACTGCGAGCTCTTAGAAGGCAGCGTGCTGCGGTACTCCGCTTTCATGACAAGGCAGTACATGCCACACCTGCTAATGCTGTGCCTGTGGAGACACAGCACAGGATGGGGACTGTCCTGGCTCTTTGTGCATCTGAGGAAAGCCCAAGAGGACCCAGTCCACACCTACCAGCACAGCTCTCTGAGTAGCACCCAGACAAGCCTGGCCAGCAACAGGAGTCACCAGCAGAGGAAGCCGCAGGTGAAGGAGCAGACTCAGAGCCCACAGTAAAAGGGAGGTGAGGTGCGAGCTGATTGCAGAAGGGGAAGACTTAGTCTCATTCCCCCCTCAGCCCAGCTGCTCCCAGGTGGGGAGTGCTGGCCAGGGGAGGGACAGAGGCTCCTCCCTGTCCAACTCAGCTCTCCTTACCTGATGAACATGCCGATGGCATAGGCCACGAGGAAGGCATTGTCCACAGCCCCCAGCAACTCCGAGTAGTTGTCCTGGTCTGAAAGCAGATGGGAGAGGCATAAAGCTGGCTGTTTGGCTGTCTCTGCAGGAAGCCTTTCCAGGCTCAGACCACACCTCCTTGAAGAAGAGGGAATGGGGCACGCACCCCGCTCTTACCGAACGGAGCCCAGCTGCACCACGAGTCGTCACTGGCATTGACGGTGTAGTTGATAGGTTCCAGCGCTGAGCAGTTCTGGTGCAGGCGGCTCTGCAGAGGCAACAATGCACCCAGGGCAGGGGTCACCTCGTCACCCCAGTGCCAGTGTGGCCCGGGAGTCAGGGGGAACCACACTTGGGTCTCTGCCTCGCTGTCACATCCTTCATCCCCTCCTGCAGACACCATGGCCTGCAAGGAGGGACTTCAAGCAAAGTGGTCCCCTCAGAGCCACCTAGCCCAGAGCTCCTGCTCCCTATCCCATCCATACCCACCAGCACTGCTACCCTGATGAACACATGCAAAAGGATCGTCTATGGCGAAATCCCTGGGGAAAAGAGCCCCTAATGGGGCGTCTGCCAAGAGGTAGGGGCAGCCCACAACAAGGGCTGACAAGGGTTCTGGACTAGAGTCCAGACCATTCTGCCCCAGGGCATTTCTGCTGCTGGACCAGCATCTCTGGCGTTTTCCCTTCCCACCCAGTCTCACCTTGACAATGCTGATTGGCTTCCTGGACATGTGGTAACAGGTGTAAATGAGGAAGGTGAGCAGCAGGATGAAGCCACGGTACCTGCCGGAGAAGGGCCATGCATTGGCTCTGTAGAAGGGCGAGCCTCGCTGGGAGCCCTGGGCCAAGGCTGTGCCCACACGGGCGGCCCCAGGCCTGGATTTGCCCCTCAGACCCCACTTTGAGACACAAGTTCTCCAGATGTTGCAGCCAAGGGGAAGGCAAAAAACAAAAATGCCCAGGGTCCAGGGAACTGGCCTTTCTGATGCTGCCTGACTCCTGAGGTTCCAGCGGAGCGGGCTCAGCACCCTGAATGCCCTCAGGAAGCCCCTCCTCCTGTTGCAGCCCCCCACCTGTGCCCTTTGCTTCTCTCCAGTCTCATCAAGGCAAGGGAGCCCTGTCTACACGGGAGGGATGGAGACTGGGGCAGAGAAACATAACCGCTTGTGAAATGTCAGAAATGACACAGGTTGTGGGGAGTTGAAACAGGGAATTGTCCTTCAAGTCAGGTCTTCATAGGCTTAGAGCTCATCAGACATGGCAGCTGCTTCAGCTCCATTACAGGACAGTCTGGACCATAGCAGTGGGACGGCTGCCCCTACAACTGGTCTGTCTCCCTGTTCCTCATCTGACAGGCCGATCACTCTTTCCAGCCATGGCTCACATATCCCATGTGCCATCTGCTGTTGTCCCCTTCCTCTCCCATCCCCCATCCCCCACTTCTCATCCCTTGTGCTGGTCTGAGGTGGAAAGTTTGGTCCAATCGGGCTGCAGTCAATGTTTCCACTGCAACTGTGGCCCCTTTCCCCACGCAGGAGAAGGCCTGAGTCACCACCAGGGCATCAGCTGAGCCGAGTCAGCAGCACGCGGTCAGCAAGTACAGGAAGAAAGGCGTGCAGCCCCAGGCTAGCAAGAAGCACCAGGCAGCAGGAAAGACCCTGAGTTGCTCACAAGAAGGGTGGGAGGCCCCGGGCCCCTTTCTTTCCTGCCAGCTCCACAGACCTGATGGCAGACATGGGGTGCTCCTCTGCCCTCTCTGGGAACCTGTTCCAAACCCACACCTCCTTTCTCCGCACTGCGTCATGAAGCAATGTAGTAGTCTGCTACTTGTGAAATAAGGAGTGCTCACAAAAGTTGAACCACCTCGCTCCACCCTTGAACTTGAGCTTCCTACATGGGCCTCTGTCTCCATCCTTTGCATTGCCTGCAGTCTGTCTTCTTCAGGGAATGAAGTTATGCAGCACCCCTTCCAGCATGATCCTGAAACACAGCCAGTGTCCTGGCATGCCGTCAGGACCCAGCTCTAACTGTGCTAGTGGATCACTAGGCTACTCCAAAGGTCTTTCACAGGGACTGGCACTGGCAAACTTGGTGACAGCAGTGTTTGCTGAGCCCCACTGTTGGTCATGTGGTTCAGGGCCTTCTAGCATCGAGGAGGGAGAGACTGTCTGCATTTGGAGAGAGCACCCCAGTGCAAAGAACCACAGAAGGGGGAAAATAGAAGCTCCACAGACAACCCCAAATTAGGGCCCTACCTGAGATGCTGCCTGGGACAGAGCAAATGTGGCAAGACTATGGGCCAGCCTCCCAGTAATGCCCTTGGTGACCTGTGTTTGTCTCCAAGATGGTGCCTCTGGTACACCCAGGCTGCTCTCCATCTCCACCCAGGTCCCCAGGCGGGACCACTGCCCTCTTGCACACAACACCAGGACCTGATGTTATGGAAAAGGGTGACCCGGAAGCACAGAGGAGGGACACCGAATACAGTGGCATGGCAGTCTCTGGAGGTGAGGGTTCAGTTGCATTCTTAAAAACAAGCAGGAGATGGCCAGGTCAGTGGCGCTGGGGCGGGGATGATGTGTCGGGGAAAGGAAGCAGTGTGTGCAAAAGCACAAAGGCGTGAAATAACACTACCTGTTTGGGGAACTGCCATCAATCAGGACATCTGGAAGATGGAACTGAGCCAGGCGCAGGAGGACAGGTGGCTGGAGAGGAGGCAGGACTCAGGCTAACTCCTGAGGCTGCTGGGAAACACTGCTAGGATGGGGACCTCTAAGGCCCTGGGTACTCTGCACACGACCGAGGCTAAGCCAAGTGAAGACCCAGGCCTCTGGCCTGTTGACTCTGGACAGGAGTCCCAGACAGGCCTCGTCATTGCGGAGCCGGCTGGCTGCTCCCAGGCACGTGGCAGCAGCAGAGGGTTCCAAAGGGTGCCTGCCAAAGAGCTGATGAAAGAACATGAGGACTTTGAAGGCAGCCCAAAGCTGGCTTCATCACTCAAGCCTGTTTGCTCACCTGAAAAGCAGGGAGTTTGTAGCCTTACATGACTGACAGGTTAATGAAGCAATGGCCACATAGGGCCCCCAGAGAGTACTTTGAAATGGCCAGAGCTGTTGCATAGTACGTAAAGCTTCTGTCTGTGGTGCTGGCATCCCTTATGGGCACCTTAGCTGCTACACTTTTGATCTAACTCCCTCCTAATGTGCCAGGAAACGTGGCAGAAGATACACTTCCATGGGAGTCCTAGAAGAAGCTCTTGGCTCCTGGCTTCTGATGGACCCAGCTGTGGCTATCACAGTCATTTGGGGTATGAGCCAGCAGAAGGAAGAGCTCTTTCTTTCTCTCTCTATATATAATTTTGCCTTTCAAGTAAATAAATCCCTTTTTAAAGAGAACAGCAGCTGGCCTGGGTTCAGATGAGCACCGGGAGCTAGCAGGGCCGAGGCAGCACAGGCGATTTTGTTGTAGAAGTCAAGTAGGGCTGGAGGCTGGCACCAAGTCCTCAGATAGTGGGAGTCCCAGGCCCTGGCTTCACCTAGGGGGCAGAGATCAGGGGCTGTGCCAGCCCTGAGTTTGGAGAAACACAAGAAATCTGCTCAAGTTGCATGTGATGCCCACCCTGCCTGGGGTGAGCCAAGCACCTGCAGGAGAATGTGCAGGGGCCATCCCACGGCTTTGCCGGGCCAGCAGCAGGCACACTGGCATCCAGGCCCGAGAGATGCCCGCCTCTCCTCCAGTACTGACCGCACTCCACTATAGGAAACCTGACACCCAAGCCAGCAGGAGAGTCATGTGCCAGGGAACAGGGGATGGTCAGCTGTGGCACTTGGCCTGGCACTGGCCTCTCCCAGGATGACCCGCAAGGACTGCTCCCCGAACAGTGTTCTGCCCACTCCCATTTGCAAGGCATGCTGAGAAATGGCCAAAAGGTCCCAGCTCACAGAAGCCTGGGGACAGGGGTCAGAACGAAGAGCTAGGCTTGGCTGAGGCCACAGTCAGGCTCAGCCCCAGAAGGACAGCTGACGCTCTGTCTTCTGAACCCACAGGTTTCACTTCTCTTCTTACAAGTCCTTCCTTCATAAATCGAGAGGCCCCAGAAAGGGAGCAGAGGCCAAAACATGCACAGCTGGGCCTTGCCTAGCCCCGGGGTGACTGTGAGGGCCTGGAGCCCAGGGCTGAGCTGGGCTGGGCCAGGCTGAGCCAAGAGGGTAAGGGACAAGGCCCCTAGGCTGTTCCACGTGGGGCTGGTTGCCCCATGACCCTCCATGTCTCTGTTAGCAAGAGATGTCACCTGTGAGAGTCCTACCTCCCCCACCAAACATTGGTTACTGAATAACCAGGGCTGATGGAGGAAATAGCTATCCTTTAGTTATTAGCTGACAGTCCACCTTCATTCTTCTAGAGGAGCATAATAGCTTTATCGATCTTGCAAAGACTTTGCACTAAGAAAGCTTGTGGGATAGGAGCAAGGAACAGTCTGTCCCAAAGTAACAAGGGATTAAAAAAAAATAAACAAAGTCCTCCCCCACCCCGGAAGAACCTTTTCCCACCACCACAAGCACAGCAGGCAGACAGGAGAGCAGCACAGCACGGCAGAGGGCTCCTGATCTCAGAGACAGTGAAGCATCTCTGTCTGCTTAGGGCTGCCCAGTCAGCCCACTGGGAGATGTCTAGGGCTGTCCCCCTCCCACCCCCCGGGACTGGGCTGGCTATGGCTATAGGTGACCTTGGCCCTGGTTCTGAAGAAATTGACTAAATGGGTTGTTCGTGGATGTGCTGTTCTGGGGTGAGCAGATCTGAAAAGGACAGAGGGTTGGGCACAGTCAGACCAAGGTCAGGGTTGATTGTAACAAGGCCACCAACCCATCCCCTGCCAAGTCCTCCATTGTCATGATGAGATATCCTGGTGGGGAAACACCAGTCCACAGCAGTTACTGTAGGGCCAGAGTCCCTGAGCCTGGCCTGCAGCCTACAAGATGGAGCAGGGCAGGCCAGACCTGAGGGACCCAAAGCTCGCCTGGGCCAGGAAATCAGGATCCAAGTACTTGTCATCAAGTTAACTTAGGGTTTGACCACAAGAAACTCCATAGGCAAGAGAACCATTAGTGCCCAGGAACCCAGGAATCCCCAAAATAAATTCCTGGCCTGGAGGGTGATCTTTTGTTGGGGGAGAGAGGAACATACAGGGTAGACTGTTTTTGCTTCTAGGAGAAAGCTGAGCAGGGAACTTGATGCTCCAAGAAACAGAATCTTTGGCTGTTACCAGCAGGCTGCATGCAGGCAACGGGAACAACACTGGGAGAGGGGGAGGGCCAAGGGATCCCGGGAAGAGGCTTGGGGGAGGCACAGGTGGGAGAGAGACTGTGTCCTGCCTGGGGAGGGGCCACGCGCTCCTCTCACCCCACACCATGCCCACTCCTCCTATAGGGACAAGGTATAAGCCAGGATAGGAGGATAGGAGAGCAGGAATCCAGGTTACCCAGCCCCTTTTCTTACACACACACACACACACACACACACACACACACACACACACACACACACACTACCACTATGGCGAGGATCAACTAGGGAGTCCTGGCCTTTGGGGACCTCCCTCCTGTTGTTTCTCCTCATTCAGTTGGTATTTGGAGTTTGCCCAACTCCAACCTCAGCTCTAGGTTGGTACAGCCTGAGCACAAGAAATCCAGGCGTTGGCCAGCCACTTGAGACTCTCCCAAAACTTTGTTGTCTTCCTGAGGATCCTCCGTGAGTCTGAGTCAGACGGCCCCACCCACACACAG